CTTTAAAAATCGTATCTGCTCACTTGTGTTCCGTGTTCATCTTTCTTGTGATTTCCGACTTCTATTTTTAATAAAGTTTGGAGAAATCCTCATCTTTTTGGCTGAAAATCTCGCGCATGGTTTACAGAAAAACTTGGCCCCAAAACGTCAATACATTCGCTTTCCTTTCATGCCAAATTTTCGTTGTAGTTGATTCAGAAACCTCTTCTTTTCTTGCTTTTAAAACTTGCTGTAAAATCTTTCTTTGTAACAGAATCGCCATTATTCATTCTTTTTGGAAAACTAAGATTTTAAACTTGAAAAACTTTGCGAGTTTCTGACCGATTTTCTTGCATGATACACCGTTGAAAAGCTCGAATTTCACGTTCTATTTTCGTATCCGTTGCTAGGCAACCCAATAAACACGTGCTCAAATATCATGCCCGCAAGTTAAGGTGTCATGCCAGGGCGCATTCGGGCGCATTGTCCGTTACCCACTTGTCAATCTCAGGGCGCATACGGGCGCATTGGGCGTTAATGAGTTAAAGTCGAAATTACACCACAAATTGCATCGCTTTAATAGTCGAACTTAGCAGTTTGTAATGTTATTTGAACTTTTATTACAGTTATGAAATTGCTTAGCACTTATTCTTGAGCTGAAATTCAGACCACGTCATTGAGGCGGCCCCGTCGTGGATCTTAAACTCTCTATAAATAACACAATTAGTATGCATTCTCTTTTGTCGAAGGTCGAACGGAATAATAATAATGAATAACTAGAAATATTTTGCCAAATATTCCATGTGATTTTTCATTCATACTAATTATTATTTTTATTATTATTATTTAATATTACTTATTTAATATTACAGATCTATTAATTAATAACATCTGATTTCCAAGGGGAATATATAAATAAAGAACTAACCTAACTCAATACAGGAGCTTAATTTTCCTATTTACAAACGAATGACTTGATTAGTACTATTTACTGTTCACACATGCACGTTTTGTCCAATCATTATAGTCAGCTCGAGATAATTGTTTTATTTACACATAAGTACTAAAGTAAGGAACGACCTACAATGACCTACAACCACCTACAACCACCTACTACGAGCCTACAAGATCTACAACGATCTACAATGGTCCTCTGACAACCTACAATGATCTACAACGACCCTGCAATGATCTACATAGCGACCCAACAATGACTTACAACGACCCTGCAATGATCTACATAGCGACCCTACAACGACTTACAACGACCTATGTTGAACGTCGCGATGCATGGCGATCATAACCTAAGTATCAGGTTCTATTTTACAAATAATAGCCTGAGCAAAGTTTATATTCAAACTGTCGCAGGAGAAATTTAAATTTCACACAACGACAACAACAATCTAATATAGTAAAATATATCAACAAGAATAGTATAATCTAGATAGATAGATAGTTTATTTAAAAAAAAATACATAGCAGCCAACCGGCTGAATTGCATAATTTGAATATTACATGTGTTGGAAATGTAAAAAGTTAAACTATGTAATGATTAATATATATTACAATAAGAATACTCAAACTAGGAACTAAAAAAAGTTAAAATTAGGTCTTAGAGTTGTAAGTTAAATGTTAAAATTACGTCTTTAAAAACTTTTTCGCAAACATTGCTGGGATGAAGGAGTGTCTGAATCTGTCTGTGTGAATTCGTGGAAGATCATACTAATGGTACTTACGAAGATTTAGATTGGGGCCATGTCTTGACGGTAAAAGACTGAAGAGCTTGTGCGATGGTACTGAGATTCTTTCAAACTGGTTATCGCAGAGTTCTTGATGTCTGTTATGTAAGGTGGTTAAACCGCCAATTGTCCCATATTAGCATCATAGGTTTTACTCTCAGGTCAATGATTGATAATGCTCTCTTTTGTACTCTCTCAATATCAGCACTCAGGTACTGGGGCAATGCGCACCAACCAATCAATGACAGATTAAAAAACTTTTTTCTCATAGACAAATTAGATTTACAATCGAAATACGTTTCAGGCCTATTTATTTATTTTTAATGCATATTTTCATTGTTTTGAACAGGTTCTTATTTTTAATAAGCGACCACAACAGTCAGCAGCAATTTATTATTGCGGTCAATCAAGTGGAACTGGAGGTCATTATTCTTAAAATAATAACCTCCTTTTCTGCCTCAATGACCCTAATAATAACCTACTGTTCTATCTCACCGAGATAGAACAAAAAACAATGAAAATATGCATTAAATTGGATAATGCACGAACTCCTTGGCCTTCTTAAAAATAATGACCTCGCACTCGGTCATTATTTTTAAGAAGGCCTTGGAGCTCATGCATTATCTAGCCTGCAAACAGGCTTGTTTGCAGGCTAATGCATTATCCTATATATAGGCACAGAATAAAGACATACAGAAGTGTAACTTCCATTACAAAACTTTAAGGTGCTTTTTTACCGAAATAGCTGGCCGCTATGTTCTTAGCAAGTGGGAGGCATTCACCCCCCTGGAATATTAAATTTTCAATATGCTTTCAGGGAGGTGACTGCCTCTCTTTAGGGCACTTGCTAAGAACATGGTGACTGAAAAAATCCCTTACGCGAAATTAACCTGAAGTGAGATCTCTGTATGTACTTCCCTCTGTGATATAGGCCTGATCGCAGATTATGGCGATCACGACTTTTGAGTGATGATATTTATAAATTTTCAATTACTTCAGGACACTTCGGCACTTTGCGCCAAATTGTAATTTAACAACATAAAATGCTCACTGAGTTTTCAGCGATATACATACCCTTTTCTAGATATATACCTAATAATAATAAACGAACGAACGAATGTATTCCTTCCACTTGTGAGCTCATTTACCATTGTCATATAGTAAATGTCCAGGCCTTGTGACCCTGGATGGGCACTTAAAAGGAAAGAATACACACACACAAAGGTTTATTTATTCAACCATTACAAGAGAACGATTGAACAACTGCGCATGAACGAACGTTCAAAGTGAATGCCTCTTGTTAGCCACCTACAAAATTATTATTAGCATAACAATATGTCTCACCCCTTACAAAAATAAACTATAGTTTTTAGCTAAAAACTATAGTTTTTATCACAAAAACTATAGTTTTTAACTAAAAACTATAGTATTCAAGAAGAAACTATAGTTTCATTATAAAAACTATAGTAATCAGCTAAAAACTATAGTTTTATCATGACAAAAAACTACAGTTTTCAGCTAAAAACTATAGTTTCTATGAAGAACTATAGTTTCCAGTAAAAACTATACTAATCAGATAAAAACTATAGTTTTACCATCACAAAAAACTATAGTTTCTTTGAAAAAATATAGTTTCCAGTAAAAACTATAGTATTCAGGTAAAAACTATAGTTTTTCCCTGTTTTAAAACTACAGTTTTTAACCGGTGGGTAAAACCTATAATTTTTAACCACAAAAACTATAGTTTTTAGCTGAAAACTATAGTTCTTACAATAAAACTATAATTCAAAGTAAACTTTGGATAAAACTACAATTCGTAAAATAACTGAAGTTTAATAATGCACAAAACAATAGTTTTTTGTATGTCTATTACAAAGCTACACTTTTTCGAAAATATTACAATTGTTTTCTTTGCTAAATTAAAGAATAGTTTTAATGTTCCATTCAATCTAAGTATTTTCCTATGTATTGCATGATTTGCTACAAAATGTTTATTTATGCACTAGACGCATTTACATTAAACTCGAAATGTACTGGAGTTTTTATAGTTTTCATGGTCAAATGTATTGTCTGAGTGTTGTATGTGGTTTTGTCCTGCTTCTACAGGATGTCTCAATAAAAAGGTCATCCTACTTTAGAGGACCCTATATAGTTGTGTGTATATAATATTGATTATTGTACTGAAGATAAATCGTTAACAATTGGGAAGACTAGGCATTTAGCTTACGAGATTATTTTTATAACATTTCAAAATTTATCGGTGGAAATCGCATATTTTTACCTTGGGGCGTATAAATATAGGAAATGCATTAATCAATTAATCAATGAACTTCGCTTGTGCATTCATTTAATTAAAAGATCACGAGTTCATATCCATCAATTTTAGAAACGCATATAGGCTTTATCTTCAATAGTCTGTTTATTCGATCAGTTTCCTACAGTGAAAACATGCGACTTTAACCTGAAATTGTCCTTTCACTCGTTTTTTTCCAATACTCTGCTTTTAATGATACAAAAATATGTTAGGAGATAGCTAAATGATTACCCACACTGTACCCAGCCATCTACTAAAATTAGATTACCTTATTGTGACACCCTGTAATTAGAACAGAAAACTAATTAATGACATACGCGGTTTTCGATCTGTATTCCCCGGCTATGTGACTACTCCATTTCAACCATATTTGGCATGTCAATCAGATAGGTCTTTTTGTTGTGACAAACTTTGATGCACTTGGAGATTATTTCACTCATGTCCAGTGTAACTACTTCTGGTGATTCGGTAACTTGTGATATAAAATCAGATGTTATGTTCAAGAGAGTACATTTATAAAGGCGGTCTCTCAATACATTAAGAAGAGTGCATGCAAGAACATTGGCTTTAGAGCAACCACATTGCTCGTGATGCTGGATGTCACAATTGCACTTCTTTACGGTAACCAATCCATTTATTTTACAATATAATGTTCTGCCCTGACGTTTCGCGTTGACGTAACAATTTTTACGCTTCGTCGACCTCTGATACTTATCACTTTCGTACAGCTTCCCATTTAATGCAAATCTGTTGTATTCGTAGACAACGCGGTTCACCACTCCTCCAACAGCTTCAGTTAAGGGTAGACTTTCGTCGACGGAAACATTGCGAACTTTAGCTTTTACTAAATGCTGTTACATTCTGGGACAATTTGACAGCCTTTTTCATTAAGGATTTCCCGTGCACCAAGTTGTCCAAGACTTCAGAAACGATATCGTTACCTTGCACACTTTGTTTCATAAAGAGAGGCAATGTCTTCATGATAGCATAGGTTTGGCACACCTGGTCAGAAACATATTGTGTTCCTTGGATCATGTTCTTGAGAGTCGCGTTGTTACTCTCGAACACGAAAGTAGATACAGCCCACAATAGTCCACACATCTGGGTACTCTTAGCCAAGTGAGACAGCTGATGAACATTAAAGGAGCAATGAGAAACGCCATACAACTCTTCCATCTTCACAATGAAAAGATCAAGTGCAGCCTTAACTTTCGCTAAGCCATCTTTTAAAATACAAGTGCCAAGCAGCTGATGAAGACTCCATACAAAAAGGAAGTAGTGGTTGAGGAAACGAAGTGGAAGAACACCTTGCAAGATGATAAGCGAGTAATACAAAAGAAATGTTTTATATTCATTAGCTTCCCAATGCTCTCGTGTTGCTATGGATCTTGGCAGGCGTCATACTTCTTTCGGAACAACGATATCTTTTAAATGATTGTCATACATTTTTTGTTTCAATGGCTGTCCAATGTACCATGGGCTTTCATGGTTGTTGCTGTCAAACCAAAGAGACACGAGTTGTCGTGTCACTCCAAGTAGAGAACAATGAAGGAAATCAGGAACGAAACCATGAACGAGATCAAAATGTCCAAGTTTACTCAGCATACTCGGCCCTTTCACGCCAAACTGAGGAGTTTTCTTCTCAAGTGCTTCTAACGCCAATAACTCCATTTCATGATGCATACGTTCTTTTTGATCCTCGTCAAATGGATATACTCTCGCATTACCTCTACCACGTACTACTTGTATACCTTTAATATGGAATAAATAAATGTGTAAAACAACAAAACATTAAAAATAGAAAAACTCCTCAAAGAGTAAAAACAACTCTACTTAAGGAGTAAAATTTACACCAAAAATGGAGTAAATAAAGGAGTAAAATTTACTCCAAAAAAGGAGTCGTTCTGTACCTTTTTTATTTACTCCACTTTTGGAGTCAAGTCGACTCCTTTGGAGACAAAATGACTTCTATATATCGGAGTAAAGAAAAGTCTTTAACTAACTTTAGAAATCAATAAAGACATTTTTCAAGTCAAAATAATTTATTATCCCTACAAGTAAGGTATATTATAGCAGGAAATACAATTTGCTGTAGCATAATATAATGAAATACTCTTACACCCTATAATATTGTAATGAAGTTCTAAATTGACTAGAATGATATCATGAATACATGATTAGAATGATATCATGAATACATGTGCAATACAATTACAAGCCTATTTCATATTACAAGAACACATTGGTATTGAAGGAACTAGATACTGTTCCGAAATATCACTTACTCGAACCGTCCTGACCGCATAGCTCAGTTGGAAGAGCATTGGGCTAGTATTCCAAAGGTCGTAGGTTCGAATCCCACCGTGGCCGGACATATTTTTCAAGCTCGCCCGGTGTGGATATGCACTCAGAGTAACATCACAAACATACAAATTACAAGCCTGTCAGCATGAATTGAACCTGCAGCACTGCAATTCTACCGCAGCCCTCTGACCTAAAGAGCCCTTTTGCCAAGAGGTAACCACAAGTTGTTGTATGTATACCATGGTGGTGTCATTGGTAGTGTATTAAATAAACTGCCCAGGATGACACTTTGGTTACAGTAGAGCTTGATCGACTGTCAGGGTGATGGACTCTTAGGGCTTCAGGACCTTTGACGGTTAAAAAGCTGATCAGTATCACCTGTAGGGCAGCAGGTTCCATTCTCAGCACAGTACCGGCTATTACATAGTTATTGTTAAAAAAATTTACATTTACAGAAAAGCTTTAACCCATTAAGTGGCAGCACTCTCTCCTTAATGAGCAAAAATTGTCTGACCACATTTGACAGAAAAAATAAAAAAGTAAAGCAAATTGCCACTTACAGTAAAGGGTTAATATTCTGTTCAATGTAGAAACTTTACAAGTAAAATATACTGCATGTATTAAATGTATGTAGTGTCACTTCTCAATCAAACATGTCAAGCAAGTCCATTAGTAAAAATTTAGTACAAAACAAGCTGTATACCACAAGTCGGCAACTCCATCCCTTGCATGGTTTTGTAATTCACAAAAATGCTCTCCAGCAAAAGAATAACATTTTCCAAATAGACCATGAAGTTCTTAGAATGCCATTAATGATTACATATAATACCACTTGTTTTGACAACTTGCCTTCTCCTGGGAAGCTAATTTGTTAAATCCATATATTAATGAGAATCCCTAGTAAGAAAAATATATATAAGGTTGATATATAACAGCAGCAAATTATTGATTGATGTTTGTGATGTTACTCTGAGTGTGCATCCACACCGGGCAAGCTGAAAAGTTAGTTTGGGCACGGTGGGAATCGAACCTGCGGCCTTTGGGATACTAGTCCAATGCTCTGCCAACTGAGCTACATGGTCAAGTCTGTTCGAGTTGATGATATTTTGGAACTGAGTCTAGTCCCTTCGATATCAGTGTACAGGGGTATTCAATGATACGATTATTTTGTGTGTGTTGGTGTCATGTACTCAGGTGAATATATTATGTTTGTGATGTTACTCTCACCAGTAGCGTAGCCAGCCCGACTATTTGGTCCCGCTATGCAAATATTTTCATGTTCATCGACTGTGAAAACAATAAATTTCTAGAGAAATGAATAATGATGATAATTTTGAATTTGCATAGCGGGACTAAATTGTCGGGCTGGCTACGCCACTGACTCTCACTGAGTGTGCATCCACACTGGGCAAGCTGAAAAGTTAGCTCGGCCACAGTCACAGGTTCGATTCCCACTGTGGCCAAGCTAACTTGCCCGGTGTGGATGCACACTCACAGTAACATCACAAACACCATATATTCACCTGAGTACATAACACCAACACACACAAAATAAAAATTATTGATTGATTGACAATGAATTTGCTATTTTTGGTTGTTTGCATACATACAAAGCAAGAAATACAAAATTCAAATGCTTTTACTCATTTAATGTAAGCATACAATTGAACTAACATCATCCAAATGAATACAACTTTTCTGGAAAAGGGTGTTTAAAATAGAAACTGTGCATAATTGACCCAAAATTCATTGTCCCAAAATCTTGCTAATGCTAAGCTAGGATTTTCCATATAAATTATATACAATCACCCACGATTTGGCACGGTATTACCCCTGGGCCCAGCTGGGTAAAAAGATCTCTGTGACTGTTTTTGTCAATTTATACATTTCGAGACTGTCTGCAAAAGTATGAGTGATTGATCACTTGTTGGTTCACTTTATTGGGAAATGTGCTTGTACTATATAACTCAGTCTGGGTGATTTGTTTTGGCAAGCCTGCCCATCTAAAGAGGCTCATGTAACCAGACATTCATCCAGGGAAAGCGAGCTATAGCCAGGTTAGCTGGGCGGCTCGCCTCTATATAAGCAGCCCCTTACACATGTTTTAGGCTGACTGATAGCTGATAGGAGGGCTACCATAGCAAGCACAAGCCATACACTGGGTAATGATTTAAACATATTTTAATTGTTCAAACAAACGAAGTTTGCCCCAAGAGCGCATGCGCTCATCTAGGGGGCTCACTCCTTACAATTGCACACAGTATTTCATAACATGCCAAGTATATAATAAAAGAGAGGGAAAAAAGAACTGACAGAAGTCAAGAATCGTGCGGATGAAAACGTTTTGTTTCATTTATGTATGACTGCACAAGAGAAAATAACTCTCTGTTTAATTCTAATGATAATAAAGATGATCCATGCAAAAACATTTCAACAATTTGTGCGTCGTTTATTCTTGACCAATCGTCAGCAAACAACTGAGCAGCAGAGGAGAGCAGTTTCTGTCTTTGGGCAGCAAAAATTGGACAATAAAGAAAATAATATTTTATAGTTTCAGTGTTAAAACCACACATACAAACTGGGGATACTTTACATCTTATTTTAAAGAGGTAGAAATTTAGTGCACAAGCACCTAAGCGCAGGCGAGTGTGATAAACAGAGGAAAATCTATCATTTGATAAATTATAAATGCCATTTGGAACAGGTAAGTCAAAAATGCTAACTAAAGCATTTTTAAAGAAATCGAGTGAAACTAGCGAACGCATCTCGATATTTATACTATTCCACAGTCTTGTAACGTTCAGTGTGACTATTAAAAAGAGAAAAATCTGAAACCGTTCTTAGAGAATAGTTTGTTCTTTCGGAGACTTGTAAAGGAAGTAATTCTTTGAGATAAGATGGACTCAGGTTATTTACAATCTTATAATATAAGCTTATGGATTTTTCTTCTAGTAGACATACTTTCCCATCCCACTTCTTGCATGAGACGATGCTTACTAGTTCCTTTTATTGCCCCGGTTACAATCTTAGCTGCCTCATATTGTACATGCTCAAGTAGATCACAATCACTGGCTATACCGTTGTCCCACAATACGTCCGCATACTCCATAACAGGACGAATAAGTGATTTATATAACTTGCCTAGAGTGTCTCTACTCACTTTAAATTTTAGGCCTTTTAACATATTTAACTTTTTATTAGCATTTTCAAAAATATTTACAATATGGGCTTTCCAAGAGAGGTTTGCTGTAAGTTTGACGCCAAGATGAGTATGTTGCAGAACTTCACAAATTTTCTCGTTTGCAAAATAAAGATCGGGATGGGGTGGTTTGAGTCTTTTAACTGAAAAAGTCATGCATTTTGTCTTCTTTATATTTATAGTAGCAAGCCATCGTTTTGCCCATTTTTCTATTTCTATAAGATCATTATTTAATTTTGTTGAAGACGTATCTGGATTGTCAACAACATCATACAAGGAAGTGTCGTCAGCATGTAATAAAGAATGGGATTCAAGGTTTTCAGTGATATCGTTTATATAAATCAAAAAAAGCAACGGACCAAGTACGGACCCCTGAGGCACACCTGCGTTTATATTTTTCCACTGTGAATACTGACCATCTATGACCACTCGTTGTTTCCGATTAGATAAATAACTTTCAAACCAACTTAATAAAGGGTCCTCAACACCAATTAATTGAAGCTTGTGTAAAAGACCCTTGTGCCAAACTCTGTCAACGCTTTACTGATGTCAATGAAAACCATTCTTACTTCTTTGCCTTGCTCAAATGTCTCGTGGATCTTATGTACTAAATATACTAGTTGATTTACTGTCGAATCACCTGGCCGATAGCCTGATTGCAATGGGTTTAAGAATTTTATATCCAACAAAAAATTGTAAAGTCTTGTAAAAACGACTCTTTCAATTATTTTAGATAATGAATCTAACAATGAAATCGGCCTATAATTCAACTTTGACTCACGATCTACTTTGGTTTTAAATAATGGAATAACATTTGCTGCTTTCCATTGCTCAGGAAAAACACCTGACGACAGTGAAAGGTTAACTATATACGTAAAGGCGCTGGTTATACCGTCTGCACAAATCTTGATAATTCTATTGCTTATACCGTCTGGACCACATGCTTTACTAATATTTACTCCACGTAAGAGGCAATTTATTTCATATTCGGTAGCAATCACGTTTGACAAAATGACAGAAGACTGGAAAGATATAATATCATTAGGAATAGTCGCAGCACCATCGTCAATGGTACTCTGATTGCAAAAATAATCATTCAATACTTCAGCTTTCTCTTTAGCTTCGCTAATTATGTTTGGACCTTCCATGAGTGTTGGGACCGTTTCGCGCATTTTTTGCCCATATTTTGCCCATATTTTGCCCAAGATTTAACAATCCCCCACCATTTTTTTGAGCTTACCTCGGGTTCCTGAAGCTTATTATTTAAATTTGCATAGTAAAGCGCTTTATTTGATCTTATTAATGTTGTGGTATAATTTCTTTGTGCTCTATATTTTTCCCAAGTTACTGATGTTTTTGATCTAGAATAATTTTTTAACAGTCTGTTTCGCTTCCTAATAGCCTTTCTGACCTTACTGTTCATCCAGGGTTTATCGTGTGGGCGGATAACCACCACTTTTCTATGAATATGTTTCTCTTTGATACGGTACACACGATCGTGCTTTCTAGCTACGACAGTTCCATCGACTGAATAAACTTTCACGCCTGGCGAACATAACTCTTTTACATTCAATAATAAACGATGATTGATTTTCGTCAAATCTTCGTTAATGTAGATCCGTTTGCAGCTAAGATTTCTTTTTCCTCTCATGAACTTTAGCTTGGTAAAATAGCCGTTTAACTTCACAAGTATAGCTCGAGGCTGTGAAGATGCTTGACCTTCGCCTACATTTAGGGCGTTAGCTTGTTTTAATTTTCTGACACAATGTGCTCGGTCGATGTCGTCACTAGTAACATCAATTTTGAGTTCGTCTTTACACAAATCAATAACTATTTTATAACAATTTTCATCCTTTGCTTCGGGTAGACCGAAGATTCTGATATTATTTCGCCGAGAGTATTGCTCGTTTTCATTCGCTTTTGCTTCTACAATGACGAATTTTGACTTGAGCGAAGCTACTTCATCCTTGAGTGAGGCAATCTCTTCTTGTAGCGGTTGGATTTTGACATCAATTGCGGTGTTAACAGCACTAACAATGACATCCTTGAAAATGCTGGAATTTTTTAAATATTCGTCCATCATCTTAGCGAATTCGGCAAAGGAGCCTTCGGCCTGGCTGGCAGACCTAGTCATGATTCCAGTCGACATCTTAAATTGCTCAAACTTTCAAATTTAAATTAACATTTTGAACGATACTCTCGAAAATAACTTCCCAAATTGATTCGCTCTTCAAATGCTTTAGTTTAAATATGAGAACGTCTAAAAGCTGTAAAATCTACACACAGAACATTTAAGTAATCGGAGCTCTAAAAGGCACGTGGGCTAAATGCAATATGCTGTCAAATGTGACTGCATTTCAAACAGATCACATATATATTAATTAAAGTATACATATTTAACACGAAATACAACATACATGTATATCACATAAATAAAGCCCCGTTTACACGAGCAAATTTTATTTGACAAATTTCATATGTCAGAGATATTTTGCTTGTGTAGATGATAAATTTGTGACAAATTTATTTGAACAACAAATGCTTTTGATGAAATGAAATTTGTCAAAAAAAATTTGCTCGTGTAAACGGGGCTAACAACACATATAAGTAGAGATTGTAGATTAGACTTATAGACTTCTGCTAATACAAATTAATCGAAAGTTAAAACTGAACGTCTTGATCGGCAAATCGGCGGCGAAGCGACTAAAATACAGGCCTTCGTCTTCGATATTTTAAAAATATAACTATACAGTATATCAAGTAACTTTCCGCACACAAATAAGTAAATACACAATAAACATACCTTTGAAAACAAATTCCATGTATCTTATTAGGTCTTTACAACTTTATAAGTAGAAAATTTGAATAAATATCATTCACATTTGAATGTTTGCTCCCGAAGGATTGAACTTGGCGCTTGGTCTTTGTGTGAACCAGATCGAATTACTACAACACGTGATAGATTCTAAACATGCTAATTGGTTGAAAATCTGGAACTTCCACTTGTCGCAAATTATATTCAGCAGAATTCAGCAGCAGAACATTCCACACGCTCCAATTACAGATTTAGGCAGCAAATAAAAAATATAGATGACTCGCTGACAATTTCTGGCTACATTCGATCGCCGCATGTGACAGAGCCGATATACAGTATAATACATCAATGGCATCAATCTGACTTAGCAACATTCGAGTAACCAAAAACGGAAAATTAAAAAAAAGACTTTATATCTCGAACTTCGTGCTTTTCGCATCTGACTGTATTCAATACTTTAATAGAGTATAGCCTCCAGCAGAAAAACTCTTGGATTCTCAGGCACATTAATTATATATTGTAATAATTTACTCCAGGTCCAGAACAATTTTACTCTTTTTTGGGAGTTGAAACGACCCCTGGAGTAAAATTAAGGAGTACAAATTACTCCATAATTTCTACTCCTAAAAGCGCGTTTAGTTTACTCCTCCAGCAGAGTTAAATTGACTCCTGATGGAGTAAATTGTGGAATACGCGCCGAAGTGGAGTAGTTTTAACTCTATTTTGGGAGTAGATTTTACTCCACAATTTTTACTCTCCCGAGTTGAGTAGTTTTAACTCCTATGGTGGAGTTAAAATAACTCCTTGAAATTAACAGTGTAAACAAAACACTCAAAACAGCACACGTGTGACATATTTTACCTTCAGTTGCCAGCAGTTCAAGTTCTTCAACAAGTGGCTGTAGTAGAAGTTCCATCTTTACTTTGCATTTGGAAAACCACAATGCTGGCATAATAATATTCTTTTTGCGGAGATCCACAGGCAGCTCTAAAATAGTGCATTGTATTGGCCAAAGATCTTTATTGGATGATCTGCATAAAAACAGAAGATAGGGTATACCATCGTAATAAAGTACTTTTAAAAAAATGAAACATGTAACAACCTATTCAATCATAACATTAGATTATAGGACACTTGGTTGAGCGTTAGATCCTTATTAGTTGATCATAACTCATGTGATATATAACAGACAAGCATTGTGACGCACAAGCGTACGAAAATCAGCCTAAGAAAATTTCTAGCCTTTGACCCATGTTCCCAGAAGAAAAAAAATTTCCACCCAGCTGTATCATAGAAAATATCTTCAAAATAAAGCAAGAAAACAAATATCTGTCACGGAAGTGACTCTACAGTTTTCAATTATCTTTCAAATTAGACTAAAAAATGACACAGTCAATGTTCGAGTCATATGCCCTTTAAGTCTATAAAAGGCATAAAATACATACCGAAAGACAGGAACTCCATCAGCATTCCACAGCAGAGAAATGTCCTTTTCGCCATAACCATGAACATCCTTCAATTTTTTGTACAACTCCCCATCAATGGCATCTGTTATAAACATATCATCATCATGATCCTTCGCAGGTGGGTTTAGTATACTTTCTGCAACAGAATCATCCTGCAGTATCAACTGAAGTTGAGATTGCAATGACCAATAAGAAAAATACGATTTATTGCTCTTTGCACTTTCCACATCCTTTGATACATAGCATGAGCACACTTTATCTTTGTCACATTTGCTACTTGGGCCAAAGTAAAAAAAACACTTTTCACAAAAGTAATGATGCACAAATGTTTGGTGATCAAATTTTTTGTAAAAGAGATATTTTGTCTGTGGAACAACATTTGGCAGATGCATGTTCATTATAGTAAGAAAGTCACCCAGTGCTTGATCTGTCAGTTGGTGTTTTAAAACGAAGGACATTAGGAGCACAAGTGATTGGTCATGAGTTAAATCTGCACCTTCATAAATTAGCTGGTTTCCACCGTTTACAAAACCATGATCACTATGCTGCTCCTGATGAGAGCCATCGCTGAAATGGGAGTCATCCGAGTCATGATCACTCCATCCATCCGAGACGTCACTCCTTCCATCTGAGACATCGCTCCATCTATCTGAGTCATCACTTGATCTATCCAAGACATCACTTCCTTCTTCAAGAGGGCTATCACTCCATGTGGAACCATTTTCAGAATGTTCACTGCTTTGGTCACTCACAGATTTATTGAAATCAATATCATCAACATCCCACAATGCATCTTCCTCGATAGCATCAATTGTTAGTTGCTCATTACTGCAATTATTTAATTGGCTTAAATTGTCAGTGGCTGGTGTATTGTTAGAGCTATTTTCTGAGTCACCTTGACCATCACAATACTGTTCACTTCTCCAACGAGTCGTTCTGGGAATAACCGCTGTGTCGTCCCTTAAATATTCTTTGTATCGTCTTTTTGACATAATGGTACAACCGCTTTACAAGTTTTTCTCTTGTATGTCACCTAAAAGTAAATAATTAATATATTTTAAGAATTAGGTTTACTGGTTATTTCAACTTCCACTGAAGTTCTAGTAACTTCAACTGAAGCTGTGGTAACTCTTCAAAAAATAGAGTACTGCAAAATAAAATTTCTTTTAATTATTAATTTAATTAAACAGCTGGACATTATGCATCAGTCAAATCCAAGTGTACCCATCTCCCCCCCCCCTGTAAAGCACATCCTGGGGGTTGGGCATTTGAACTCAACCTTTGCCCGGGGGCAGGGTATTTGAAATGAAGAATTTGGAGATTTTACAATCACCGATTGTTTGATAATAATATAAAACAAAACAAAACAATACAGGTTTCAGACCACTTCCTGTCATTCCAATTGACGTGTTCCTCAAATATTGATTCAATACATTACCTCGGGCTGACCAATTCATTTCATCAAGTTCCTCAAAATATTCATACACTTCCTAGTATAATTGTAAACTTCCTGTTGAATAGTTTGAATGCACCAATCACCTTTGTTGTTTGTGCAACTAACCAATCATAAATAGAAAGGAAGTGACCAGAAATGATCAAATTCTTGGAATTGGCTCTTTCACAGGAAGTGTATGAATATCTCAAGGAACTTGATGAAATGAATTGGTCAGCTTGAGGTAATGTATTGACTCAATATTTGAGGAACACTTCAATTGGAACGACAGTAATAAATATTAGTCAAACTCTTCCATGGCAGAATATTCAATATAAGCCAGTCAAGTTGTAGTTGAAAAATGCATAAATTCGAACCACGCGACAAACTTTAAAAATAAATGTGCTAGAGCATGACAACAGCAAAACACGCTAGAGTAGGATGCACAATACTTGGTAGCCTGCAACACAGGCAAAATATGTGGTAATTGATATATTAGTCAGAGGGCAATTGCCCCAAAAGTCGAAGAAGGTATTCTCTTTATTTTCAGGTACCGGTAGTTGGATAATCTACTCTTCTTGGATAAACAGCCCAGCTGTCCCCAGGGTGGGGGATTTGCTACTGATTTTTTGCCCCGCTGCGAGGCATTTTCACGTATTTTTATCCCTGTCCCCGGGAATATGTCACATATTTTCAAAAAATGCTTCGGAGTTGGCCTGGGGGGAGATGGGCATGCTTGAATTTGACTGATGCATTAACATTTAACATTTCATAATACTTGCAGGTTTGTTTGATGTTGTGTATCCCTATTCTGTAAAGTATCCCTACTACCGTAAACCTCTGAAATTATATAAGAACTCCCCGATAATAAGCCCCCCCCATGTAGAAGCCCACCACATGTACTAACGCTCACCTCATTCCAAATATAAGCCCACCGATGCAGGAGTCTTCTACAGAACGATATTTAAAAACATTGTCTTTATAGCTTACTATGTTAATCATTTATTTTCCTGTTTATGACTGACTTATGTTCGACTTGTTTATTGCTAACACAAAATATCGTTAATGTATAAGCCCCCCCCTTGTATAAGCCCATCAAAAATCGCTTACACAAGTATATAAGCCCAGGGCTTATGGTCAGAGGTTGACGGTATGGTGTTATCTCGAAATGCCTATTTATTAACCCATTAAGCTGCAGAGCTTCCCCATTGATGAGTAAAATAGTCTGGCATTAGACAAGTAAAAAAATAAGTCGGGCACACTTATTGATTGTGGCTCAATGGGTTGATCAAGAAGAGTACAGTATATTTAACTGAAATTTGGGTATTTGTGATATTTAAATTTAATGAATTTCTGGTATATATGATATAGTAATTTTTAACTGTTAAGTGAAGGCTGAAATAATTACTGAAATATATTTGAACATGGCTGGAGGCGCTGGACTCATGGACAATACGTTGTATCATTGTGTTTTTACTGTATACTTGAAATATTCTACTGCCTCATTTTTAATAACCTCACAGACTATTTTCAAAACCTAGTTGTGACTTCAAAACCAAGTTGTGACTTCAAAACCAAATTAAAATCTTTCAATTTATATCATACAGTGTATATTATAAAATAAAGACTCGCTGCTAAATTTATTATTAAAGAGTCAGCAGAAGACATAATATTAATCATATTATGACTAAACTTTATAATTATTACAGTTAAACATACCTTGAGAAACTCTGACCTTATTGTTTAGTACCATCCAGATTGAGTAAATGTTTTAAATATGATTGTAACTAAAATATTTTCATAACCAAATCCACAAAAAGCAAAGTGAATGTCAAATCATGCTCGATCGAATATAAAAACGCGATCGGCGATTCACAACATGACGACACCGTACAGTACAGGGGCGGATTCAGCCCAAAATGTGACCGTAGCATTTTCCAAGACCTCGCATAGCTAGGGGGGGTCCGGGGGCATGCCCCCCCGGAAAATGTTTGAAATTTGAAGCCCGGAAATGCCATTTCCTGCGTTCTGAGCACTGCATGTGACCATTAAATTTGTCCTCATTGTATTCATTTCTCAAGCAAAAATAAGCCGAAATGATCTCAAAATGTAAACTATTGCTCGCGTATATTTTAACATACGATATCGGTATGATACTCGTATCATACGCATATCATTATCAATTGAATACCGAAATGCATGTATCATCTACGAACACGTGTATCATACGAATACGCATATCATATGAACGCGCGTATGATATGAATACGCGTATCTTACGAATATATATGCTTACAAACAAATATTAGCTCGCTATAAAACACGATATATATACGCGCGTATCATAATTCGCGTATTAATTCCAATACATGCAGGTATACTGTACATACGCGCACAAACACTTTAATAAAGCGAAGTTAATAGCGAACACTATACAGTAAAAACTCAAATTAAAATATAATGCGCATCTCTTATCATTCATAAGGCTTACCTGACTGGAAATGATTCGTTTTACTATCTGATTTTATTTCTACCTCGACGCATATAAATCCTAATTAGCTTTACGACGGCTTTCATTTGAAATGCGCACAACCGTACTGTGGGTTCCCAATAGCATGTTGTTGATGAGCCAAACACAAATATCAGATATTCCATCATTCTGGAGCAGTAGCCAATTTCATGCCACCGTAGCAAACTATAGCATTTGCCCCATTCCGATTGGTTTGCTACGTTTGACCGTAGCAAACCAATCAGAATGCCGTATATGCCAATTTTCGCTATGGTCAGATTCAACCTTAATGAATCTGACCGTAGCGAAAATTGATCATATATGGGCAACACGCTACGGTGTATTTCTGAAGGATGATATTTTCTAAGCTATAGTCCATTGCGTAATGACCCGCAAACGGGCAATTACAACCGTATTTTCGGGCGGGAATTCTTAAAACAGTTAACGTTACGTATTATAAATGTCATCAATTTGTCAAAATAAAATGTTTTAGAACATATAAAACTAAATAAAATAAAACCTTGAAATATAAACAAGGAAAGTAAACAAAATATTGCTAAATTATATTTTAGATTGATTTTATGATCCATGTTAGAACTGGCCTATGGAAAATCTGACCGTAGCATATGCTACAGTTGCAACGGTGTAAATCCGCCCCTGCGGTATTCTCAACCTCGTACCCAGGGCTAGTCGCGAATTGAAGGTGGCGACGTAGCCCTGGTAAACGCTGGTCACGTGACTCCAACATTACGTAATTGTTACTTTTCTCAACCGGGGGGTGAATAGGTGAAACTCGAAGACAAACAGTTTTTATCTCCGAAATTCTTCAATCTTTCCTGTAAATTTTGCATTTCAAGCTTTTCTCAAAGTACGGCGATCGATCAAATGCATCAATACTTTCTGTAGAAAAAACTCAGTGAGATTTGTTCCAATGAGACGTTTAAAAGACTTGGATATGTCGCTAAAGACGCTCGATCATTGCACAGGTTTATGGTTTAGTACTTTGTTCAGTTTGAGGCGACTTGCGAAGCAAATGAATGCAAATTCAACTCTTGTATAATGACTAAAAGTTGGTTTGTAGAGGGACAACTTATACAAAATATGTGAATACATTAGCTTCAAACTAGGGACAAGTTCATGGACATCCCTAATATATGGACATTGATATTTCAGCAATATGTAAATATGACTATTAAGAGAGCTTGCCTGTAAGAACCGCAGAATGTGTGGCAGATATGAACTAGGGATCCAAGGATAGTGTAAAGTTTCAAATTGAAAAAGAGACTGCAAGAACTGTATCAGTTAAAGTTACATATTTCATTTGCAGAATTTCAGCACCACTTTCTTAGCTACAGGATTGCGTTGCAGATCGGAAGAACATTTGCCTGGTGTGAGTCGTGCGAAATTACATGGCCGAAGGGCCTGTTTACATGGAGGTAGGGTGATCCTATCAGGAGGGTTACCCTGGCAAGCGGGTCAGAAAATAGCGATCGTTTACATGAGGTAGGGTTACCCTACTGCTAGGGCGGTGTGGCCCGATAGGGTAACCCTACCTATGCGTGGTCGCTAAGCCGTGTGTATTAGAAACATGGCGCTCAAACGCAGCGTTCTCGTCCAAAAGCAAAGCTTCGTTCTCTGCTTCCTTATGTGTGGATTGCTTATCCGTTTTATTTTTTCTGGTGTTGTTTAAAATACTCCCCAGGCTGATATGCATAATCTTGCGACCCCATCGTTGTTTGTCTAGCAGGTCACAGTAGGACGTATAAAACATGACACGTTGCTAGGATCACCCTACCTGACGAGTTTACTTGGCTTATGTAAACAAAAAGATAGCCCTGCTGCTAGAATGACCCAATCTGTTTGATAGGGTAACCCTACCCCTAGAGTAACCCTAGGGCGCATGTAAACGCATCTATAAAACACATTAGACTAGGGTTACCCGCTTGCTAGGGTACCCTCTTAAAAGGGTCACCCTACCTCCATGTAAAGAGGCGCTAAGGCTAATACTATCATAATCCCTGATCTTTGGTTGTAGCCTCCCGTTTCATACGAGTTGTGGACGGCTCATGTTTCTATTAACAATGCTGTAAGCGAACAAAATGTCGAACTGATGAGAGATACAATTCTATATTTCGCTATTTAATGTCTGTAATCAGGTTTACATGAATCTTCGCGAGACAAGATATTATTAACGTTAGTTTGCCAAAGAAACAGTTCACATATTAGTATAGTCTATAACTTTTGTCTTTTTTATATCAGGAGGTGACAGTCGATAACCAGTCTACGCGGTCATTTCAAATGTTTATTTCTTGCCATGTATTTTCGTTTCTTGTTGGTTGAATGATGATCGTGGCTTCATCGCAATATGTTTTTCTTCTCTTTTCCCTCAGTTCAGATCACACATTTAAGTTAATCTTGGCCATGAGCGTTGCGTAGTTCTCTTGTAATTTCACTGTAATGACTGACAGTTCACAATGTATGGTTGGGATCTAATACTCGTACGCTGACTTCATATTGTTGATATTGCTGCTGTCAACATAGAAGTTGGTAATTTCCAAATTGTTAGCCACACTTTGAGGGTTGAATATTTGAGATCATATAATCTTCATTCAATATGGTAATGATGTCACTAAAATAACGATGGAAAGAAAATTAAATGAGTACAAGAGAAATTTAGCCATACACATATTTCATATCAAAAAGATATAAAATTCATTAAAACTCACCTTCTTAAAGCTTTGGAGTGACAGCGAGACTTCTTCTGTCGCTATAATAAGTAGCGACATTGACCCCTCGGAAATCGAGGAGGCAACCCCCCGGGAATCTAGGGGACAATGCAGTGGTGTTCTAGACATCTAGTCAGCACTGAGTCTGAGTCCATTTGAGTTGATAAAAGCTTTTGTGGTTATAAATTGATTGTATGGCTATATAACTATGTTCTGATATGTTGTAAAAAAGATTATATTTTTGTTATGGTTTCTAAGATTGTCAGTCTGACTTAAAGATTAACTTGAAGCTTGTCGATATTGGGATACAGTTACTTGTAGTTTATATATAGTATATTACATTATAACTTCTTGAACTCTTTTTGATTTATTAATAACTAAAATATCAAATAAGTGACACGAAAATAGGCTTATGGTCGCTAAAGTACGATTCTAAGACACCACTACTTTTTACTCTTTCAGGGATATTAGTGTATATGTGATCAATTTGTGTTTTATAGTCAGTTGTCACTTGACTAATAAGTTGCACGTATTGCTTTTCTTCGATTAAATATTTAGAAAGTGTGTTTTTGTCGGATGTATTTTCAAAAAGGTTAACATTAAAATCACCAAGGATGATAACAGGAGTATTTGGATAATTTATATACGTAGAGTGCAAATGTTTTAAAGCATCTATGAACATTGAAATTTTTACTTTTGATTTAGAGCGATAAATTCCTACAATATGTAAATTATATACTGGTTGGTTTACTTTGAGTAATGTCATTTCTACATGATTATAGTTGCACCTTGATGGTTCTAAGATGAGTTGTTTATTGTGTTTTATGTAAACAGCAGTTCCGTAGGGTGTTCTAGCACCATCCGGGATGAAGTCATTTCTGAATAGTTGAAAGCCTGGAATCTGATACAATTCATTGTCGTCATTACTACATAGAGCAGTTTCTACAAACATATTAATATCTGCTGCTTTTACATTATAATCACTCGCAACGTCAGCAACGTGAAGATGTAATGATCTCACATTTTGGAATAATATTTTAAATGTCTCACTAGTATCTTTATAGAGAAATGGAAGATGACTTTTAAGTACAGAATTTTGTCTTAGTCTTGTCATTTCTTCTTGTACTTTCTTGCTCACAGCTATTTTCTTTTTCGTCATTACTACATAGAGCAGTTTCTACAAACATATTAATATCTGCTGCTTTTACATTATAATCACTCGCAACGTCAGCAACGTGAAGATGTAATGATCTCACATTTTGGAATAATATTTTAAATGTCTCACTAGTATCTTTATAGAGAAATGGAAGATGACTTTTAAGTACAGAATTTTGTCTTAGTCTTGTCATTTCTTCTTGTACTTTCTTGCTCACAGCTATTTTCTTTTCGTTCAGATTAAGAATATGTAATCCCGAAATGCTTCTAAGTCTGCTAAGAGCAACGTAATGCATGTGTTCTCGCTTTAACGATGGAAGGTCGACAACGGCTTCATTTAATGTATCTCCTTGACAACGGTGAATAGTTTTGGCTGCAGACGGTCTTAAAGGAAACTGTCTGCGAAGAACTTGTATTTTATTTTTTGTAAACTGTCTTTTTACCTCAAGAATTGGAACCCAATTTTTTTCTATACTTTGATTGTAAAGATAAGAGTATTCTCTGCGATAATCATTCCCAATATGTTGTTCTTGAAATAAAACCCAGATAATACTTGGTCTTGATGAACCTTCTACTCGGTAATCAATTTTCTTGACTATACATTCAGCACCATTAGTCATACCATCTAAAACTGACACGTTTGTCGTGAGGTCATACTTTGCTTCCTTAAGTATTGAACATACTGAGTACAAGCCCATGGTTTTCGAAGGATCGTTTGGGATTTGTTTTTTGAGTTTTTCTTTCAAGTCGTCAGATAAATCTCCGAGTACAATATCTATTGCTTTAATGTCGACCTTCTCGTTTGAAGATTTCTGAAAAACGTCATGATTATGTTGATCAACTGCCATATTAGTGCTGAATAAATGGGTTAAAGATATTGGATAATCAGGATGTTGTGGACTAATGTTTAAAATTCTTTCTTTCAAAATTTCAATGTCAGCTTCAGTATGATTTCCTTCTCTGATGCGATTTAAAATTTCAGCAAACTCTTTGTCTTCCCTTTGTCTCATAACCTCTGATAATTCAAACATTTGAAAATATTTTTGCCAGAGTTTGGTGCTAATGCAGCATAACCATCCTTTGAATTCTCAAATATCCAATTATCAAACACGGGTTTCAGTTGAAATAAGTCGCCAACAGTTATTATGCTAAGACCGCCAAATGGTTCTTTTGTACCCATGATTTGTTGCAATCGTAAGTCTAGAAAATTAAACATAGCACTGCCTACCATAGATATCTCGTCAATAAAAATAACTTGCATTCTCTGTAACTGAGATCTTATTGTATTCAATCTGTCTCTATCTAGTGTACAATAATTAAACCCTCTGTTTGCAGGAATTTTAAAGGCGGAATGAAGTGTATTTCCTCTTATGTTAAAAGCAGCTTTGCCTGTTGGGGCTACTTTTACAACACTGACATCATCAGGATCATTCTGAGGTTGAGAATTTAAGTATCTTATGAGAGCTTCATACAAAGCATTAGTGACAGTACTTTTGCCTACACCAGCACCTCCGCTTAAAAACAGTCTCATTGGCAGCTTATCAGTCTTGACAGAGTTCAGTACATGATAAAAAAAACTCTTTTTGTTCAATGTTAAGTGATTGGACAAGTTTTCTATAATCGGCATCATTCAGCCTTTTCACAACTAATTCTTCATCATCATTCGTTCGTGGATATAAACCGATATCGTTTATCAGGTCGTATTGGGCATGTTGTTTATCTTTTCCAGGATCGAAGCATCCGAATAATTCACTTGCTTTCGTCCCAATTTCTCTATCTTGTTCATCTCTATACTGCGTATTCGGAGCGACTAGATTTTCTTCACTTTCAATATCTTGCACTGCCTGATCAAGAACTTCGGTGTGATTCTCGTATTGTCTTCTGTTTTGTTTTATTACATCTTTGATAATTTCATATCGATCCTGGTAAGTTTGGAAGTCTTTCAGAAGATCTGTATTTTCATTTTTCCATAAGTTTTCTAATTTCTTTGGTCTTCTCTGATATCTTTTAATAATGTTATCTGATTCAATATCAACAGAATGATCAGGAAGTTCTTTAATTTTATCCATGCTTTTTAACAAGAATGTTCTTTCATTTGGGTCAGATGTGTTGATAAATTGAAATTCTCGAGACGATCGTCTCAAAGGCATTTGCATTACTAAGTAGACAGCCTCTTGTGCACTTATTTCAACAGCATTGAGAAATTTGTTACCAATATGTCTCACCTTGTTAACAATGTTCTTATTGCCTTCTTTTGCTTCTTCACATGCCTTACGAAGTAACTTGCTCATTCCTCTTTGGCCTTTAGTAATATATGAAAGGATATAAACAGCACAAGCATAAGGATCTAAGACGTACTGAATATCCATGTTAGCTTTCCAAGCTCTGAGTAAGTTTGGATTGTAACAGTTGATTCTAATCTCAGCTGGCGATCGTTTCAATAACAAAGTGTTATGTTTAAGAGAAAGCCGTATAGCCTTTAGGTATTGGTGTTCTGATAAATTTAACTTTTCGAGAAATTGATCAAAGGTCATGGTTTCATCAGCTTTAATAGAATCTAATAGTGAGTGTATCTGTCCCAAAGCTTTCTTTAATATATCTGCCACATTTTCTTCAAGATCAGTCTCAGACAAAGGCTCTAAAATCATAGTTCTTGGCATTGGCGGTAAAGGGAAGTTAAATCTGCAAACAGCATTTCCTCTTTTCTTGCACGTTTTAGAGTGTTTATGCCTTTGTAAATTTACGAGGTCAGTTAAGTCGTTTGAGTCAGCTTTACATGAAACATAACTATCTACAAAATTGGCAATATCTTCATCAGAATCTTTGCCATACTCGGGTGCATTTTTGATCCAGAATAATCCATGGATATGTGGAGAACCTCTTTGCTGGAATTCAACACGATAGAAAAAGTCGACAACTTCTCCAATTGGATGACATGAACTTTTAATAAAATTGTGAATAAAGAGTTGCACCATATGTTCAAAATTTCGAGCACATGTTACTGGATCTTTCTGTATCAGTTCAGACTTCTTTTGCCAAGTCATTTGCTTAACCTCATCGTCAGTATAGTGTTTGTTGTCAATAAGACGACCAAGAATTTTAATCAAATGAATCCAACGCGTTTCAGCAGCTGAAAATGAACAGAACCATGTAGGTTTACCAAGCTGACGAATCATTGCAAATAGATCCTTCTTACATCTTTCAAAGTATGGAGGGGAACCGCGTAAATTTCTTAAAACTCTGAATCCTTCATCTAAATTGATTAGCTTATTAACAGAACTTTCAGACTTCAAATCGCCTGCTGTGTAAGTTTTACCTTTGGTTTTACATTTACGCAATGATAGGCTTGCACTTCCTTGAATTTGTCTGATCTGTAATTTTTTTAATTTGTAAAAAATATTTGGCACAGACTGAGCAACTCTTCGATCTTGACTTCGTAATTCCCATTTACAAATTGTACTATAGTGAACAGGTACAAGTCTTTCACTGTTATCAGCTTGACGTTTGCCACAGTAAATGGTAGGGAAAGACAGGAATTCAGAATCTTTATCGATAAAAATACCAAGTGGTCTATTTCCTTCTCCTGGTGCAAAACTTATTATTTTATCACCATTTTGAGTAATGTCTGGTTCTTGTAATAGTGTATCCATAACACCTGATGCTCGTTCAGTTGGTTCGCACCACTCATCATCTGTGTCGTTGTCAATCGAGTCATTACTTGCTTGCATTGTTGCTACATTTTCTTGACTTTGAATATTTACTTCGTTTGATACAATGTCTGATGTTTCCTCGGTGTTGTTGGCAATAAATTCTGACCACGCTTCTTCATTGACATTGTTGAGTGGATTTGTTTCATAATTATCCATTACTTCAATTCCTTCATTTTTGAATATTTCACTGTTACAAACCAAGTATCGCGCTGCTTCTAAAACTTTCGAAGGTCTGACATTCTGAAATTGATAATGGTGTTTGTATCCTAGTCGTCGTTTCAATTTGATTGGAATAGTTTGTGACTCGTTAATCGGTCTTGGTAAAACACTAACGGTTGTGTTAACATCAGCAGGTACATTAACTACATTTCCATGGATACTTAGTTGTCCTCCACTAGGCAGTTCACGTACTTGCATGAAAGGTATTCTCGGTGAAATTAGCCTTTCTTCAAGCGGAGTCAAATCATTTAAGACATCAGGCTTTTCTGGGAAAGTCATTTTATTTGCCTTCGCACAACTTGGAAGTTTACCATCTTTAAGGTTTGAGTGGCAAGTACCACATATCCATTCAGTATTATCAATGCTTTTGACGCCAGTAAGACATAAATTGAGAATTTCGTTTGAACATGACTTGTATAAAGAAGGATTGCATTCAGTGACAGATGATCTGTACCATAATTGATCACAACATGTACAAATATGTTCTGGTCCAACTAGAGGTGTGCGTCGGATCGGATTGACCTCTCTCAATCCGATGGTTTGTCTAAGTTCTCAATCCGAATCCGATCCGATCCGAAGATGAAAAAAGTAATCCGATCCGATCCGATCCGAAACAATGTTTATAAAATCCGATCCGATCCGATGCTAAAATTCGTAATCCGATCCGATCCGAACTTAAGTTGTGTACGCTGTACAGCGTGCGTTAATTATTATGAACGTATTTTTTCATGATCATAAACGATATATTGGAAATAATGAATTTCTAGCAAAAATAAGCAGATACGAATCCGATAAAAATTGCAGGGCGATATCACATAATTATGCCTTATAGCGTTCATATTTACAGTACACAGTAACAGCAGTTTATATTTTATTAGAATTAGCATAGAAAAAAAAACCAACTAGTCAAAAATGTTTTATTCAGTATAATAAATCATGAGCTTGAGATAGGTTTACATTTTAAAACATCTTAAAGTTTATCACTAATAAACCTCATTGTCAGGCTTCATGATACATAAACCTAACAAACCAAACAAAAAAACACAACATTTCTAAATTTCCTATATATCCAATCCCGTACGTAACTGAGAAATATACGTCCAAAATCCAAATAACTCAAAACTATTTTTAGAAATATATGTCACAAGAACTCAAAACACTTTTATACGAGGTGTTCAAAAAAAAAACTGGACACTGTTTGATTTCATACAACGTAAAATCATACGTAAAATCATACGCATTTTCATAATTTACAATTTCACAATTTGTAAAAATATTCGAATAATTCGACGTGATACAAGAAAAATCAAATCCGAACCGATCCGACAAAAAACCTGCAAAATCCGATCCGATCCGACAGAAACAAAACGAAATCCGAGTAATTTACTGTCCGAATCCGATCCGAATCCGATCGGATCGGATTGGATTCGGATCGGATTCGCACACCTCTAGACTGAGCTACCTTAAAGTGATCTGATGTTGTACAGAACTCACTGCTGGGTTATAAAGCATGGTTAGATCATGTAGAGTTAGTTCATGTTCTTGTCTGCATGATCTAACCATGCTATTCTGTACAACATCAGGTAATGATGCTTGTGTGATGTTACTCTGAGTGTATATCCACACCGGGCAAGCTTGAAAAATATGCCTGACCGGCGGTGGGATTCGAACCTACGACCTTTGGAATGCTAGCCCAATGCTCTGCCAACTGGGCTACGCGGTCTGGTCGGTTCGAGTATATGATATTTAGGAACAGAATCTAGTTCCTTCGATATCAATGCAATATCACAAGTATCATATTCACCTGAGTACATTACATCAACACAGAAAAAATCAACATCAGGTAACCGTAACTTTAAGGTAGCTCACACTAACGTAACTAACTACCCACATTTAATTTTGAACACTAATTTTTAGTGCGCTACGATGCAACAATGCAATATAACCAAATACATCATCCTCGCTGTCTGCGTGACAACAGATCTATAATTATTGTACATATTGCTGAATGCAAAACACAATAAGCTCTTTAGGAGACCACATATTTTAAATCCCAACGCATTGCCACATGTTGACAGTAGAATGTGTCGACAAGTATAATCTCTTCGTGTACAATCAAATATATCAAACCTCCGTCTGTTTTCTGTGTACAAAGAACAGTACACGAAACACAAATTTAAACATAAACTATAAAGTAAACAAGCGTTGATAGACAGCAGAGTTATATAAAGGTAGCAAGGAGCGTGGTTTGCTTGCCAGGAAATAAACTGTTGTATCCCGATAGCTTTTCACAGCATGATTTCGAGAGGTCATGCGTAGCTATGTAAGGGGGTAATATACACCATCTAAACTATGTGATGCAATTAAAGTTCCTGTGTTCGCATGCTGTCTCAATGATGTCAGTGCTGTGAGTAACTTCGTTACATGTAACTAGTTCCCAGTAAGCTCTCTATATACAGCTTATTCAAAGTTGTCCTTTGCAAACCTTAAACACTGAACCTTAAACTCTAAGCGAGCAAAGCTTAATGAGAGCACAAGTTTCAAGCTAAGTAGTTGATATTTGTGAATGAATCAGAATTGTTCTCGTAAGGAGATATTTACCATGTTGTCTCTTAGAAATGGGCTCCATATATACATACATTTCTAAACTGATTAAATGATAGAGACTGAAACTGACGTTTAATAGCTCCATCTTCGGGCTTCGCATTTTGAAGAACAGTAGTCGGTACCTCTGGGAGAACAATTTGGAACTGATGGAGTTATCCAGAATGTAATCGTTTAAAATTTTATGTAGTTTAAACTTTCTTTCCTTCCTCCATTCCTCTAGGAAAACCATCGTCGAGAATTGGAAGAAAATAAATCTGATATGATGATGGTCCTACAAGCATTAAAGTCAGACTCCTATCAATCCAGTTCCATGTCAAACGAATCTCTTGAAATGAACGATGAATTGAAGAAGCTTGAACGTTATGTGGAAACATTGAAGAAGGAACATGAGCAGGAGATAGAGAGATTGAATCACGATCATGAACAAGATTTGGAACAACTACGCAGTGATATGGTCACTTTGTTGAGAGTACAAGAGACTTATAAAACACCAGACGAGGGCAAGGTATAACATATTGTTTGTTCTCGTTAGCAGTTTAGAAATAATAGAGACCTTAAGCTTGACGTTTACGGCAAACGTCAAATATATTAAGCAGTTATTAAACTTGTGCTATTTAGCAATGATTTAAGGAAGCAAATTAACCACCATAGTTACGTTTGACGTTTACGTTTGGCGTATAAATTTCATGCTTTAACCATGTTACTCTGAGTGTATATGGCGCCAAGTCACTTGCCCAAAAATGGATTTCTGAATGACCCAATCAGGAATTGAACCAAAGGGCTCTGTTTTGACGAAGCCGTGCTTTGACCAATTAGATATTAAGATGCCTGACTGAGATGATATCAACTCTCTTGAAATATTTCTGTACTGTTTAATAAACGATCAGGAGTGTTTTATTAGGCTTTTTTGTGAGCATGTGCCTTGTATTTATTTATTTATTTATTTATTTTTCTCCAAGGCGGATCCCAACGGGAATATCGTAGACCTTGACGGACAACTGATCGCCTTGAAACGTTCACATGAGAAACAACTACGCGAAAAGGACGAGAAACACCAAAAAGAAGTTAATCAACTCAAGTCCGACATGTTGGTTGCAATTCAAGCCGCGTCAGCAGTCGGGAACATTAGCTCCCAGACCTCTACCTCGCCGGACGAGCGGGTCACTGAACTCGAAACGTACATCGCCAACCTGGAGCACGATTTTGAAGAGGAACGCGAAAATTTACAAAACGCTATCAAAAAGGCGGAGTCGGCAACGAAGTTTGGACTGAGACGAAATGAGGAGATGAGTAATAAGATTTATCAAATGCAGCGAGAAATGGAGGAGATAGACACTAAATATCAGAAAGAAGTTAAACTGTACAAGGAGGCATTTGATCAGGAGAAGAACAGGAAAACGACAATAGGAGCAGTGCCCGGGATCTTAGCTGAGAATGAAAGTCTCAAGGTTTGAATTTTCATATACAGCCAATTCAAAAAAGGTTGGCCTTTGCAAACCTTAAACCTTATCGCGTTAAGCTTAATGGGAGCACAAGTTTCAAGCTTAGTAGTTGAATATTGCAGCTATTTGTGAATGAATTGTTCTGGTAAGGAGATATTTACCATGTCTCTCAGAAATGAGCCTCATATATGATTTCTAAACTGATTAAATGATGCTCTCATTATGCTTTGCGCGCTTAGAGTTTAAGGTTTGCAAAGAACAACCTTTTGTGTATTAGCTGTATTGGATTAGGGTTGATCTAATGTAAACATCTATGAATAATGTAAACATCTATTATAATTATACTAATTCAACTAATTGACTGTTCAGGTGAAACTACAAGAGTTGGAGCTCTCCATGGAGCAGATGCAAGTGCGATACGACGGTGAAATTAAACGTTACAAAGAGAAGTTCCAACAGGAAAATGTGCTCAGTGTCGAGGAACTACAGTTAAAAATTGATTCTTTGGAAGATTCTATCGGGCAGATGAGGTTGGAGCATGAGACGGAGTTGGAGAGATACACGAAGGCGGTGAAGCGAGGTAAGGTCTCGCTGGCTGGGACTGTGAAAGAACGAGATTTAGAGAGAAAAATTGATGACTTGGAGTCGACGGTTAATGTCACGAGGCAGAAACATCGGGAAGAGGTACGTAGTTAATGATTTGTTTCCCATTGAAGGGCCAGGCTTAAGATAATTAGCATTTTTACGAGATTCGATTTGGAAAACACTAATGACAGACTATTTGGGGGTCATCATCTGCCTATACTATCCAGGCTCGTGATTGGTTGATTATAACAATGAAAGACAATAGAACTATAGAAATCGTCTTTCTAAAGAACGAATCACAAAACATGATCATTTTAGGTAGGTTTTTACCCCTATTTGGGATAATTTTTCAAATCCAAACAGGGCATTGCTCTGAGGCGATGTCAATGTTTGACCCTGTCTGAATTCGACACACAAGCCATCCAACCATTGAGTGAAAAATTACCCATGATATTTATCTTTGTGTATTCTCTAGGTACGTAAATACCGCGAGAGGCTTGAGGATGAGATGGAACGTCATCGGAAGGAAATCCAAGAGACACGTGCCAAGCTGCGCAAGCTCGAAGCAGACACTCGACAAATGGAAGAATTGAAGAATAAAATTACAGATTTTGAAAGTAAAACTAGTAAGCTGTCAAAGGAAGCGACGAAATGTAAAGAACAAGAGATTGAATTGAACGAAACGAAGAGTAAAAATAGGGAACTACAACGACAGGTTAGCTTGATGTTTTATCATTTCAGATCTTTGTCTGTGAAAGTATTTTTTGTATAGATAGGACCCAGTGTATATAACTTTCAACTTCTATCATCACAGGTCGATACGTTACGGCGAAAACTGGACAAGCTAGAAGGAACGAGCGAGGGAAACAAAGAGACTAGCGACGAGTCAACGCCAACTGGTGCCAAGGCTAAACTCTCTCGGTACAGCTCATTGGATAACATTGGTTTGAACTCGTCAAACAGAACAAAACCTCAGTCAGGGGGGGAGGCTGACGGGGGTGTTCATAATGAAGATGACGTCTTTGAAGTGAATAATAATTCAGGGAAATCTGAAATTGGAGGTTATAAACTTAATCCAGGTTCGTGGTCTAAATATGGATCCTAGTGGTATCCTTTATTATTTTTTTTTTGTATAAACTTTATTATGTCTTTACGTTTACCTCAAGAGCACAGTGCTCATCTAGGAGGCTCACGTACATTAAAGAATTACAATAAAACACCCAGCAGACAGAGAATAAATAAAATAGTATGCCAAATTGCGCCAGAAATATATGCTGAATATGTAACTATATAAATTGCTAAAATATACAACTATTTAAAACGTGCTGATTGCTCAATGAATAATCTTACTGCGGTAAATATAGCAGAATTAGCATGAAAATTCAACATTGGTAAACCATTAAGTAACGAATCTACTTGCTGAGATAAGCTAAGAGATAACCAATTATTACCAATTGCTAAGAGATAACCAATTATTTCTATTTCTGGGTAATTATTTTCTAGGTCTGAAACGTCCAGCGTCTGTGTCTGCTTTCCCTGTCCAAAATGAAAACGGTTCAAGACGGACTACATACAATGAAAAGGTATGGTGGATATACTGTAATTATACACGAAGGTCACAGTGAATCTGAAAGTCATCATCACCATCAATACCACCATCGTCATGATCACCATAATCACAATCACCATCATCTGATCGTCACCATCATAATCACCACCATCATCACCAACACCACCATCATCAACTCTATGTATTATGGAATCTTGAATTCTGTTTTAAACCGACCATAAATGACGGTCATAATTTGTAAATATTAGAATGTTCATTTCAAATTTGATTAACTCAATCATCATGACTACAAACTATTTCCATCACTGTTACCATGAGACCATCATCTTTATAACTACGTGGTTTACTCGGATAATTTTATGGTATATACATTCAAGTTACTGCAAAGCTAATCACTGTCTTTCTTTATCCAGAGACGAGAGACTGGCTCAACTTCAAACAGACCTTCCTATCAACCTGGTAAGTTATTAAACTAAACTAACTTTACACTGGATAGCTCTTCCCGTTCAACATGTCTCTGAAATATAATGTTCACCGTTCTTTTGTAGCTTATCTCAAAAGTTCGTCCAGCACATCAAACTTGAAGTGATATGTCCTCATATATAGAGTCCTTCAACAGTGACAGTTGCAGATCGCAGCAAGATCTTGACAAGATCTTACCAGGATCCCACCGAGATCCTACCAGAATCCTACCGGGATCCCATCAAGATCCTACCAAGATCTTGCCAAGACCTTCAACATAGGGAGATACTTGGCTTCAAATATCCCCGAAGTCTTTCAGATATATTCTACGAATTTTACTGTGTGATGCCAAGTGTGTTTGGTGGTTAGGTAAAGTAGCTTTCTCGAACTGATACCAGCCTGTTGGAAACGTGTTCTGGCTTTCGATCGATAAATTATTCACCCATGCGCCTATCGATGTACGATGAAATATGGATTTTTTTGTGATTGCTCTGCTTGGCGCAGTTTTGTCACTCGTGAAATGCAACGAACAATAGACCTAGCCACCTAAGGCATTGTTTATACCCGTTGTCACCTAAATTCACATTTTTAAATAACTCACATGTCTAGTTACCACTGTTCTGATAAATTAAGCATAGAATGGAACAGAGGTAACCAAGCATTTAAATTATATATGTGAGTGAATTGATAACTCGCATACCTAGTTACCACTGTTCTGATAATGTAAGCATAGAATGGAACAAAGGTAACCAAGCATTTAAATTATATATGTGAGTGATGAATTAGGTGGTAAGGGTCATAAACTTGCGTTACACGCGTAAAAACGCACAGCTTGTAACAAGTCTGCAAACAAGTTGTTGCAAGTCTGTTCACAAACTGTCAACAAATTGTGTTCGCACTGCTTGTTCCCAGTTTGTTGTAACAAGCTTGATGGCATTAACAGCCATGTTACAAGATTGTGCTAACAAGTTTGTTACAGCCATGATATAACAAGGATGTTACAAGGTTCTCAACACAAGATTGTAACAATCTTGTTATATCAAGCATGTAACAGACTTGTCAGAACAACCTTGCAACAAGTCTGATAATTTCAACAAGGTTGTTACAAGTTGTTCCAAACCCGTTGACAACTTGTGACAAGCAGTGCGAATACATCTTGTTGACGGCTTGTTGGCAGACTTGTTACAAGATGTGAGATTTTTACGTGTGTAGGTGATCAGATCAGTTAGTCTTTCAAGATATGATGGTCTCGAAACTAAACAGAAGTCATTATGTTTTTGTCTGAGTTTATGTTAATTTGTACATGGTCACGGTGAATGAGCTCGCTGTCTTTTTGTAACCGTCCAATAGGGATAGCTGAGATGAAACGTGCAACCACGATGAATAATATTTAATGAAGTTGAGACATTAGATTTGTGCACGGCGAGGTCGAGTTCAACATCAAACAAAGGTCTTCCATTTTCTGTCTTTGAAGTTTGCCATGCTTCCAGACCATCTATCTTGGCAGGCTATGTGTTGGGTTTGACGAAGTTACATATTAAAACATCTAAAACTGAACCAGTGATAAACGTGTGAATAACTTAATATCAGCCTCTATATATAGTCTTCATATATACAGTGGTCTAATGTATTTCGGAGTGTGGAAACAGAATCATATATTATTTATATAAAGACAATGTGCGAGAGAGCGAGTGATAAATATGTTGTAATATATTAAGATGTGTGCTTATTTTTACATTTGTAACTTATAACGTGTGTACAAAGAAATATTAAAGACTTTAGTTTTGTATTTCATTTATAACGTTTTTTTCCCAATATTGGATTGCGAAATAGTTTACATATATACTGTATATATTTTTGTACATTCCACATCACATTCACATTTCATATTATCAAGGGTGTGATCTATTATTGCAAATATATTTTAGTTATATAGAATGCCTAACATCTAAATTTAAATACCTATTTAGTCCATAATGCATTACAAATGAAAATGGCACAATTTTTTGTGAAAATGTCCACCTGCGTTTCCAGATAACTCTCCAGCTGCGTTTCGGTCAATGGCAGCAATATTGCAACAGTGCCATTGCAACACCAAGTATTGAGCTGGTATTACTTTCACCGCTGGCTATTCGCGGGGGCGCGTGATAAGAAGCGAGACAGTCACAGAATAAAGATTCTGTAAGCCCGACAGTCTATCGAGGGGGGTCTATTATAGTTTGGCGATTAGGTGGTTGTGACGCATTTGAGAGGGCGGTTTTCGGATATATCTCAATTAGTCAATTTTCGAGGCGGTTTACGGTCGCGATCGGTGATGGAAATTAAATCGTTGAGCATAGACTATATTACATAAGCTCGATTCGAAGACTGGTTGCCTTCACAAAAATAAAATCTAATGAAGCATAACAAATTTGTTATTGAGTATATCATGGGAAGTTGGAACTGGAGTTTGAGTTTGTAAATTATAGATCCATTCTTACGCAAAACTTATTGGACGTAGCAACTATATAACTATTTTATCATCGTTATTTGAAAGTATCAATCATGTTGGGTCTGCATGAAATGCGAGGCACCTAAAACTCACTACAGACACTAATCACACGAATCACATGATTCATGAATAGTGTAGCGAGCCATGCATATTTCGCAGAAATGTTTCTATTAGATCAAATATATTTGTGCGAGTATGTCATACTGTATATCATTTTAAAACTTGTATGCGATGCTGAAAACGATGTTTTCTGCCGTAATTAAGGGACGGGAAAATGTTGATGATAGCCATTTCTTCACATAGGCTACAGCACAATCTGTCAATCTTAATTAAGGGACGGGAAAATGTTGATGATATAGCCATTTCTTCACATAGGCTACAGCACAATCTGTCAATCTTAATTAAGGTACGGAAAAATGTTGAGGATAGCCATATCTTCACATATCAAAATCGACAATGTTTGGTCTTATTAATTAAACATTTTTATAAACACGGCAAGCACACTATAACTACTAAATTCAACATAATTGAAACTAAATTTATTTATACTGGATATAGCTTATTTGTTCATTGTAGACTCATTGTAACATATTAATGAGTATTAGAATAGTAACATATTAATGTCTAATGAGAAAGTTGGCAGACTATTTACAGGCACATTATTTACAATACTTATTATTCATAAATGTGAGCAGCGATTTTATTTCGAAAGGAAGAAAGTGATTTGCTTTCCCTAATTTCTTTTGGAATAGAATTCCAAAGTTTAGCTCCGTTGTACTTGTACATGAAACTATTTTTCATGTTATTAGTCAATTAGAACGAGGTTTTGGTAAACAAAGACCAGTTGAAATGTCCCGAAAGTGATAGTTTGTTTTCTCACATTTATAAGAAAATAGATTTGTGAGTGATTTGGGACCCATTTTATTTAATACTTTGTACATCATTTTGCCTAAGCTTTCTTCCTTAATGTTTTGAGTGGTTCCCAACCCAATTCACACAAAGCAATAGAATGATTTACGTCATTACTCATATTCAAGATAATTCTAGCAGCTCTATTTTAAAGTCGTTTTGATTGTGTTTCGCCAAACACATCCCATACTTCACAGCAGTAATCGAAGTATGGGCGAACAATAGCGTTATATATGGAAATAAGTGTTTCTTTGTCAACAAAAGGTTTGACTCGACGAATAGCAGAGATTCCTGCTGTTATTTTTTTGCAAATATTTTCTGTATTACTTTTCCAAGATAAATGCTGGTCAACTGTTACTCCAAGAGTTTTGCATTCATAAACTTGTTTAATTTGTTTATTTTCAATGGCAACATTCGGATGAGAATCAGAGATCTTTTGTTTTGAACCAATTAACATGAATTAATTCGTGATATCATTTGGTTTTGGAATTCCACCTCCATTTATAGTCGATGATTAAACTGTTCTTCGTCGAGGTCCAGTGTAAAAGGCAACACTAAACTAGACTACTTCATTTAATATACTCAGTGCCAGTGGACATAAGGTTCAATTTCGCCGCGAAAGGCTTGTTTGGTTGCACGCCGGAAATATATTTGTTTGGTATTTGTGGAAACATCACGTTTATCAGTTTTGTTTTTCGATTCGTATGCCTGCATGGTCTTCACCAGTGGCAGTGTATTAACTTATTAATATTATACTAATTATAGCACCAATGAACTTGGGTCGAAACCTTCGCCAAAGCCGAGGCAAAAGAAATGAACGTGATCACAAAACAAAAGAAAACAATTATATTTATTTTTACCATGCAAACCCTATAAGGTCAAGGATCTTATTGTGCTTTATAACAATGGTGTCGAGACACTGACGAAACATCTTAGAAAGCACAATGCATTAATTATTGGAAAAAAAAACCCACAAAAATCAAAATGCTTGAGAACGAGAAATAATTGGCTAATTTCCTGAATGTCTATACAAAGTCTTGTCTTCTGACGTTCTATCATATTTGCCCATAGGCATTTCCACGAAAACAGGAGAGTTTACTGCAATAGCAAGGAAATTAAGTCATTTTAGGCAGAAAGAACACGTAAAACTGTAAAATACGTTACTGTACAACTTTTCTAACTCAGTCTTTTTTCGTCCTCGAGATATTTTGGTTTCATTTGATATGTAAATGAAATAAATCTATTGCATTACAAGCGAGTAAAATATGAGTTTCAAAGGTGGCAGTCTCGTCATAAAAAGTGATGAAATTATTTAAACTATATATTTGATTCCTTTCACCGACGCGCATACAGAAAGTTATGCAGTAAGCAGGCGTTCTCGATTTATAAAGTTGGTTTAGTTAAGGTTTCCTCATGTAGCTGGGAACCAGGTTCTTACTGGACCTTTAGGGAGAAAATTTCAGAACTGACACTGAATATGCAGACGAAAGTTTCCTAGCTATATCTCCAGTACTTACATAATAAAAGGCGTAACTAGTATTTTTTATAATAAACGGCTGAAGTATTTTGTTTTAAATTTTCTTTGTTCAGGATACGCCCGGGAAATTGATAGAAAGCGGTATCAATTTCCCGTGCGTAATTCGTGCGTAATACAAAATGACTGAAAAACGGCAAACTTCGCAGGGCTATATTACCCGTATTTTACAACATTTCGCAACGAAACTTCGGAATATTACTAATTTTGTGATGCTCTTTCAAGCTTTGATGAAATTTTTGTCTAGACTTGTCTGGATCAAAATTTTGTTCAGTAGGTAATAGGTCCATTCATTCCCCTACTATTCGAGTCACGTATATGTAACTTTCGTAAAACATTGCTATTGGTTATAGTTGGGCAAAAATACAATACACACGTGACGGTGAAGGACCAGATTTATGAATAAACGTTGACTATAAAACATGGATAATTGTTTTTCTAATCAGTTTCATAGCCACCTTCCCTTCGATAGGTTATGATTTAGATTTCGCGAAGTTTTTTCGGTCTTTAAAATGAACACTGCGCTTCAAGTTTGGGATGGCGAACTCTCGGTGATAACGACACCACCACCGCGTGTTTCAGTTCCGACAGATGTCGTTATAAAGGTCGCTTATTCTGGAGTTTGTGGCACAGATTTACACGTGCTAGCGAAGGAGTTTCCCAGCGCGAAGTCGGTCGTCCTTGGACATGAGTTCAGTGGAGTTGTCACGGAAATTGGAAGCGAGGTGAAGCATTGCTCAGTTGGAGAAAGGTCAGAAGAAAATATATACTTGTACTGTGTTATTTTGTGGGCTAAATTGTAGAATACCCATCCACACTAGTAATACTAAATCATGTAGCCACAATTTTTAATTTTAATGGTACGCGGATACGCTTCTCCATCCAGAAAAACACCCTAGCGATTTTCTAAAGTTGTGTCTTTCTGGATTTTTTTATTAATTTGGTTAATTAAGGTTACAGTTAGGGTTGCGGTTAGTGGTAGGGGTTAGAATAAGGGTAGGTTTTGGGTTAGTTACATAACAATATAACACCTGTTCCATCTTCTGAAAATGACGTCAGGTCAGTTTGCTGGTTGGAAGGTAGACCACGCATTAAGGGGAGGGTCTACCCAAACTTGAGAATCGCTACTAGCTATCTTTAAAGGGTCTGTTGTGGCAATACTTTTTAAAAACCTTATGGCAAACTATATATCAGGAGAAAGCTAATGGAATGAAGATTCTAAAAAAATATATTTAAGGTGGCTACAATGCGTTGCCATTGGCAACCAGGTGGTTAAAGTGGCTACATGCTGTTTTTCGACAGACTGAAGTTGAAAAAAAAAATCTTGCCAGGGGCAAATTCAAATCACCCCATTTTTTAATAATAGACATAGCACTTAGTAATTGTGGGGATGAGTTGAGGATTTTTGAAAATTTTAAATATTTCACTAGAAACAAAGGGTTAAAGTTAGCGCATAAATATACTAGGTATTTTTATGCAATAACTCTGGTTAAAAACTAAATATGAAAAAATCCTCAACTCATCCCCAACAACATAGTAAGATGCATAAATCCTGAAAATTTCAGATCAATTGGTCAAATTGTTCTAGAGATATCCTTTTTCAACCTGCAAAATAGGTGATTTTGAGAAAACGGCATTTAAAGTTTCGGTTATTTGTGATGTCTGTGAATTAATGTCTAATGTACTCAAATCCATGACCAAAGTCTTTCTGGATGTACTTAAAAGGCACCAGCTTGATATGTGGCAATATCTGTCTTTCTTAAAGCTTCTTCCCTTCTTACACAAATAATTTTCTCCCCTTGACGTCACTTTTTTTCTTTTTCAGTTGCTCGCACATCAGCATGCTCACACGTTTTCTATTCTTTGAAGCCGAACGTTTGCTTGTATATTCCCCACCTGGAATTAACAGCTTTTTCATTATATGCAGTGTACTGGCAGCTCCACAAAATGCTGGATAGTGTAACCAATCCTTCATAGCCAACAACCAATTTCGATTGAACTGTAAACCATCCGTCAATTTACATCATAAGATCACCCCCTTCGCGATACACTATCAGATGTATCCTTAACCTCAACATTTTTACACGAAACACATTCCATGTTCAGGCTTGACATAAACCCCTGTTTCCTTCCTTCTTCAAGTAACAGGTTTCCTATGTGAAAGTTTTGAAAAATTTCTAGTAAGATATAATAGCATAATATTTGGGCAGTACACAACATGACATGATGACAGTATGTAGTGGTATTTATTGGTCCACTGGGCAAGCAGAAATTTGTAGTAAAACTGCATTCTACAACTAAGAGATTGTTTCAAATTTTACCAAAAGTATTTTACAAGTTAGAAACAAAATCATGAAGCCTACCTTTTCGACATTTATGAATATCAAAGACAGCAGATGACAGTTGTTGAAAATGTCAACAAGTCTGTATCAGTGTATCACTGTATGCAGAGGTTTGGTCGGCAATTCTTTCTTCTATAGCATCTTTTGGGGGTACCAAGGCAGCTATGCTGACTCAATTTCCATCTTAATGCATTAATGAGTGTTGGAGTTCCTTCTAATTGAGGTGTAGTTGCACCTTTATCGCCTTATCGGCAAGCGTGTCACCCAAGTCAGACCTCTGTGAATCAGAATCACTATCAACATCTTGATCACCCAAGGACGATTGATTGTCCTCAGACGCTTGCTTTTACAGACCAACACAGCCAACTCTTTTACAATAGACACCTCTCTTTCTTTTACTAATCATTTGACTAACTAGAACGCTTTTATAACATCACCAGAAAATATTTCAACTTGCTGTTGGGTGAGCTCGCTTTTCAAGAAACCACAATGCGCTAGACAATGCATTGTTTTGGAGTAACAGCCGCTGAACAGAGAGTTTGCAGACCCTTCTTGACTGTTCTCTTCAATTTTTAGCAAACATGACATATTACACCAAAAAACAATGAAAATTTTAAAAAATACCATGTCCGTTGCCATAGTAACGTATGCAAATTTTAAATACACAGTCATAAAATGTTGAAAAAAACACAAAATCCGTGAGAAATACCCCCCAATTTTTTGGCAGTGGTTAAATGAAGATCTAAACTTATGTTTTAACCCAAAAAAATATAATTCAATTTTCCGTCACTGTTTGGGTAGACCCTCCCCTTAATTAAGCAATCAAAAATGGTCAGCGGAAATTCTAGTAAATTTAAACTCAGTTCCGAAATATGATATCACATACTCGAACCGACCTGACCGCGTAGCTCAGTTGGCAGAGCATTGGGCTAGTATTCCAAAGGTCGTAGGTTCGATTCCCACCGTGTTCAGGCATGTTTTTCAAGCCTGCCCAGTGTGGATATACACTCAGAGTAAAATCACAAGCATCATATTCACCTGAGTACACTACACCAACACAGAAAATATAATGATTACTAGATTACACTGATATCGAAGAAACTAGACTCCGTTCCGAAAGGGATAGTCTAAATGGCGCGGGTCGCGAGTCAATAGATCATGGCGCGGGTCCAGCGAAAATGGCGCGGGTCCAGCGAAAATGGCGCGGGTAACAAGTTCCGAGGCGCGAGTAAAAAGTTCCGAGGCGCGGGTAACAAGTTCCGAGATCAATTACCCGGTACTAAATATATTCAAGATGGCGGCTATTTTGACTAAAAATTCTGCAATTATTCGGTCAAATATCGTCTCTTTCTGTGGAAACTCTGCGAGCTTCAAACTTAAACTAACAGACATCAATTACTTAAGCAAATCACGTTTGAAGGCGTTATATTCTGCATATTTTTAAACGCAAAGAGAGTGAACAGTTGGAATGTTTGGATGGAGTCTGTCACTGTCAGTGTATTAAATAATTTTATTAATTTATATACTGTAAATACTAATCTTTATAAAAAGATAATTAATCAAAATTCTCTATGCAATTTTGGTTAGAAAACCCCCACAATATTCTAAGCATTTTTTGCGGCTTAAAAATTATAGTATTTATACCAGTTAACCAGTAATCAGTATTTAATAATTTATGAATTGCCTGATTCATATACTGTATGACATTTTTAATAATTTAATTATATGATCAGTTTGACATAATTCTGAATGCATTTTATAGCCTGGTCGTTGGCCAGGGCCGAAATACATGCTAATATCTAATAAATTGAGTGTGAAAGTGCCTTTCTGACAATTTTTGTACAACTTACTTACTAAGTACTTCTGCACAAATAGTGTTCAGGCCCGTCTACACAATGCGACTAGTCATATACGATTCTTATCCTGTAGATGGGCCTTTACAGTACAGCCATTATGCGTGAATGAATTCCTTCCAACTAAAATAATGTAATAGTGATGATAACAAATTATTGTTTAATTAATTAATACATGAAAATTGTGTTTTATTTTGACCAAATCCATCTCATTGGACTTCTATGCAGCTTGACAGGTTTTCAAGGTAGGTACCTCCAATGATTTTCAAATGTTTATATTGTAAACATTAAATTATTACTATTAAACTGTTTATCATTGACATCATTGCAAAAATGATGAAATGGGTCATTCCAGAAAAGATCCATACCCCCCCTACGGAGGAAATCGAAAATAACCCCCTCCCCCCCTTTGGACATCCTTGAATGGTTCATCCTCCCCCCCTCTCCGGACATCCAAGCCCAAAATTACCCCCCTCCCCTTCGGACATCCACTATTTCTAAATTTTTCTAAAGGCTACCTCGCCGTTTGAAAACGTCACCGAAAATTAGACTACGTTCACACTACGCGCGAGCGAACTAATGCGGGCAGAATTTACGTGTGTTCATACTACCGCCATTACAGTTTGTTTACAAATTGAATTAGCACTCGTGTAAACCCAAAATATTTCAAATAGACCCAAGAAATTTAACTGAAAAGCATTCGAGTTTACACGTTTGTGTTCACACGAAGCTATCAAGCGCTCCGCCGTTTTCACCTTGCTCCGTTAAGAAACCGTGCTCAAATTGTTACGGTTTCGCTCCAGCATTGAGTGAATTAGCGATGGCTTATTTTGACTTTTCTACGCTGTTCTCAAATAGCTCCGGCGTGGCGGAACACTTGGCGGCTTCTTGTGACATGCGAACACAAACACGTGGCAGGTTTTGTCGGATAATTTGCAGAAATTCACTTCGAAATTCGTTCAAGTAAAATTCGGACTGAAATTCGATGTAACTTGCGACTGATTGACAAGCGTTGCTGTGTTTACTTACATGTTAATACATTTTTTAGTATTACTGCATTCCTTAACCTCGCCCTTAATATGAAAGCCATTTCTATTTTCTAGACACGCACCTCGCAAGGAAGCTTTATTGACTATATACTAAAACAAATTGTTTTGAGTTCAGTTCACATAGCAGTCTCTTAATTCGAGCAACAGTTTAATAACTATTATTTTTAACACTTGAATAATTCAAACTTATATATGGCGAACGAAAACTGCAAACTATATAAATAAAGCGTGTCAATTTTCGACTCATTCTCAACATGCAGGATACGCTGTTACAGCGAGTTAGTTTTTGGTGGCCATGCATGCAAAAGTGGTCCGCTTATTTTGCTTACAAGTTACGTGGATGTATAATTATTGCTGTTACATAAACGTTCCGCTGTTCAAGAGCTGCATATATATAGCCGATAAAAATTGCGTGCTCATTATAATCGCCGATCACATGGCTTTATCACAGTCTCAAACCTTCAGACAAACATATCCACATTCCTCTCCCCCCCTTCGGACATCCTAAGACATTTTTCCTCTCCCCCCCTTCGGACATCCTAAGACATTTTTCCTCCCTCCCCCTTCGGACAGCAAAAATTTCCTCCGTAGGGGGGGTATGGATCTTTTCTGGAACGACCCAATTCAGCAAGGCAAGCCAGTCCATCATTTTTGCAATGATAAATAGTTTAACAGTGATAACTTAAATAATGTTTACAATGAATGCACTAGTTTGACTCAGGGTCATCCCCCCAAAAGTTTTTTTCCAGGGGGGTTTAATTTAAGGTCATTTCAACCGACTGACCCCCCTGCATACTTTTGCCGACCAAGATGGCAGTCCTGGCGACTGATAAAATTTCACCCCTCCCCCCGTAGTTCCGGCCCTGGTTAGACTTGTGTAACAAAGCATTCAAAATACAAGCTCAAATTAACACTAATGCATCGATCAATTCCAGCTGTTACCATCCCCCCCCCCCGGGCAATATCCCCGGGATTTGTACTTTTTTCCTAAACATGTAGTAAATTCCCCACCCCCGGGCCTTTCAAAATGAACAATTCCCCACCCCGGGGCATTGATTCACGCATAATGGCTGTACTGTAAAGGCCCATCTACAGGATAAGAATCGTATATGACTAGTCGTATTGTGTAGATGGGCCTGAACACTATTTGTGCAGAAGTACTTAGTAAGTAAGTTGTACAAAAATTGTCAGAAAGGCACTTTCACACTCAATTTATTAGATATTAGCATGTATTTCAGCCCTGGTCAACGACCAGGCTATAAAATGCATTCAGAATTATGTCAAACTGATCATATAATTAAATTATTAAAAATGTCATACAGTATATGAATCAGGCAATTCATAAATTATTAAATACTGATTACTGGTTAACTGGTATAAATACTATAATTTTTAAGCCGAAAAAAATGCTTAGAATATTGTGGGGGTTTTCTAACCAAAATTGCATAGAGAATTTTGATTAATTATCTTTTTACCTTATTTAACAGATTAGTATTTACAGTATATAAATTAATAAAATTATTAAATATACTGACAGTGACAGACTCCGAGGGGCATTTCACTCCAAAAAAGCGTACGGGATTTTCGGATTTTTAAAAATCCGCGGATTTTTTAGCGGATTTAGCGGATTTTTCCCGGATTTTTTAGCGGATTTTTGAAGAGAAAATTTGCTGGATTTTCCGGATTTGTTCGGATTTTTGAAAATCTGTTGGATTTTCTGGATTTGTTTGGATTTTCCGGATTTGTTCGGATTTTTTCTGGATTTTCTTTAATTATAGAGTTATAGAGCTAGGTAACGTTTTGAACAAATAATCTTAAGTTGTACGATGTCAACGTTATGCCAGGACGTCAGGGTCGAGCAGAGGACTGGGACTAGGACCACAGGCCACAGCCTTCTGAATCTAACGAAGGCTGGGCATGCAGTCAATCTCGTTCCCCGAGCCTGCGATCCTTGGGAATGAAACGAAGGCTCTGGGATAATCCATCTCAGACATACAGAAAACTGTATGTCGACCGAACTGCGCATGCGTTGCCAAAGCAAAACAAATTGTTTGAAATATTTTATTGTTTCGTGTATAAAATGATGATTTTTTCGGGGTTTTGGTGGAAATGTTGATGTTCTTCATAGTGGGATACAAAAGGTGTGTTAGCGACTGAATAAGGAAAATATTGCGTGTGAAACAGGGTCAGTATAGAGCCGACAGGAGCCGCGAAGAGTGCTGTTGTCGAAGAAAAATGTCACAATTAATTGTAATCTTGTCCATTCACCTCTGTGTCAGTTTGAAAAAGCTTTAAATGTAGAGACATTTGTGGTTCCTCCAGCATAATTTAGCCGTTTAACGCTATTATGTTTCTAATGGTTGAAAGAGCGCGTGGAAAGGACAATTTTCAAGAACAAAAACAATTACAATGTACTGTGTGTTAATTGCTACTCAGCTACTGTAATATTAAAATACCTGAAGAGAGTCTCAATTCTAATATTAAGTCGGTTATAAACCTTGATAATATTAAAGTTTTCAGAAGATTTGTATATCAGAGGAATATTAAAAGGAATTTAGACTTATAAAACATATCATTAAAAATATGAATATAGTGAATTCCATGTTTGTATTGTGTTATCATCTCTAGAAATTAACAGTTTATAAGCCAAATCCTTGTTATATTTTTAACTGCCCTTATAGCTTTCCTTATATGTTTTAATATTTGCAAGCAGTTTAGTAGGTTAGGGATGCAACAGCACTTTTCAAATTATTGAATTGTAACCAAATTTTGTGTCTGGATAGGAATTACTATTAAAGATTTACAGTTTGTAATGATAGAGTTGGAGCAAGTTAAGCTGCAATGTGCCTCAGTTTGCCCTACTTTGTTATTTTAAGCTGTTTAATGCCAGAATTTTTTCTCGTCAAGGGGAAAGTATTGGACTTTGATATTGGTATTTGAATGGGTTAATTACCAGTCCATCTGCATGTCTACCAGCTATCTTTGGTTAATTATCTCATTAGATCATTAAGCCACAATGCTCTTAGTGCACCTTTTTTGTTATTTCACTGTACTTCGGGACAATACTTCTCACCAATGGCCAGAAATGTACTTGACTTCATGTTGATTACTGCCATTAATTAATTAACTACTGTACTAAATAGGACATTCAAGGTTGGAGATGTAATAGCAATAGAGGTTGCTATCATTGTAGCATTCAGGGGCGTCGCTGGCCCAAATTGTCAGGCATTTGGCAATTTATTGTATCGGCAATCAGGAAATTGTTTTCGTGGCCAGCATGATTTGAATTGGATAGGAATGGAAAAAACTGAGTTTTTGTTGCCCCTTCTCAGAGTAGGTATGTGTTGTTTTATAGTGTAAATAACAAGTTTTGATATTGCAATCAAACTGACAGGGTAGTTGTCATGACCATGGTAATAAAACTATTTCTATGGCTTGGCATAATTACATTGGGCAATTTTTTATCATTCATCACAAAATTATACCTGCACCCTAGGTGGTTCCCTGCAGGGGGTCATAACCAGGGGGAAGCTGATGAAAATGAATGGCTGATCACTATCATTTAATATTTTTGTGAATAGAACATTTCTTTAAAAAAGTATATGAATTTATTAAAAATATTTATATGGTTTCCCAATCTGGAATTCATACTTTGTAACATTTGGATCAAAAGGTTTATGACGTTTTCTTGGACAGAATCCAATTAACACAACCTCGTACAGAGGGCAGGGTACTTTCTGCTACAATTAGCTGTAATATTATACTGTATATTATTGTGTTTCATATGATGTCATAAATTTGAGGGGGGGTCAACTCTAAATCGAGACACAATTAATACAACCTTGTACAGGGGGCAGGGCTTCTTTGAATTACTGTGTGGACAAGATTAATGAAGGGATTGCCAATTTGGCATATTGTACCACTCAATAAATTTACTGTAAATCATTAAATACTTTCTGCTACAATTAGCTGTAATATTATACTGTATATTATTGTGTTTCATATGACGTCATAAATTTGACGGGGGTTCAACTCTAAATCGAGACACAGTCATCAGAGTGAATTAATTTTTCACTATATGTGTTGGCCTTGTGTTTGGTGGCAAATACATGCAATTTCATATCATTTTCTCACTCCAGTACAGCATAAGCATCAATACATTTTAGGTTGACCCCACGTCAGAACATGCAAAGTGCCATAGTGAAACCCCAGAATTCATATGTATTAGGTGTATGTAGACTGGAATACAAGTTAATATCACTGCCTGCGAAATTGTGGTTTATTTAGAGAATAAAGGTTTTTTGAACACTTCTATAAATAAATTATAACAGCAAAAAATTCATATGCACAAGTTAAAATGAGTATTACATACTCCTGCACTTGAAAAGTTTACAGTACAGTATATACATTAAATAATAAAATATATAACAGTAAATCCCAAGATTGGATTTATTGAAACTAGTCATTAGCTAGTTCTTCGCAATTTAATAAATAACACAAAGACAAATTAATAAAAGTTATTAACCATTTCTGACACAAATAGTATTTGCAAAATATAGCACATATTTGATATTATAGTCAAATAGTACAGTGTACTGATCAGCTCTATACTATGTATAGATTATAACTACAGAAAACCTGTACAACACAAATATGAGAAAAGTTTTCACGCTCCATTTAACTGTTGTGATATTATACGCATTAAGTATACGTTTCTTTACATTTCCTTTGTAGTATTAGTATATAGCACAGCTCTGAAACACCAAAACAATATTCGTACACTCCTAGACGGCCGCCATGTTGTATGTAAAAATATACGGTTAAAAATTAATTTTTGCAAAATTGCAACATTCCATTGTATACCAGCAACCAATTATATTAATTTCTGACATGGATTATCCCAGAGCCTTCGTTTCCTTCCCAAGGATCGCAGGCTCGGGGAACGAGATTGCTTGAGGTTGATCTGCGTTTTCGTGATGTTGGATCACTTGTATTTCTGCCATCATCAAGTACAAACATGTTTTCATCCTTTGATGCAACAACTGCAGCGATATAAGGTTTTGGAGTGGTTGAATTTCTTGCCTCGGCATACGTCACTAACTCACTGTTCTGGTAACTGTCAGATGATGTAGGTTCCTTGCCATCTTTTAATTTCAAAGCAACCACGTAGAAATAACTACAAACAAAATTTTACTTTCTTACTTCAAATATAACAATAGATCCAAATAGCTTCCTAATATGTAAGACTAATCTCAATGGAAGCTGGTTTTCTATTTGGTCATGGCGATGGCACTATGTCTATGTGTCGACTTATATCTGCAATGAAAATTAAAAATGATTTGCATACAGTATACAAAAACAAGATATAGTGTCCAAACTCAGTATATTACAAGTATATATTACAACGGAAGCTAGACTTTAATGGTACCATCAAAAAGTCGATAAACTTACAGAAACGTTTTTGATGGAATTTCCAACGAAAATGTGAGCGTAGTTGATGTCATGTCTGTGGCCTTCTTTGCCGCTCCTGGAGGAAAATGTGAAAGTATTAATGAGTAAAATGTATTGCCATAACGAAGCACTGTGTAGGGTTTTTGAACGGCATAAAAGTAGGCAAACATCAAATTCTGAATGAGCGTTTTCTTCACCACAGACAATATCGAAATATCGATTTTGTACTTACTTCCATTCGTAAAAAATCCTTTACTTCCACTGTAAACACTATTTCCTGCTTTATTACTGGCAAGAACACGAACATAATATTTTGTTGATGGGTTCAAATTTCTCACGATCCACTCTCTATCAATTGTGGTATATATCTTGAAGCAAGGGCCATTTTCTGAATGTGAAACACACGCAGTATAACTGATAATGTCGCCATTTTGTTTATCTTTCTGAGGAGGATCCCAGGTGAAAGACAATGATGATGTACTTCTTGACGAGGTTTTGATGTTCAATGGAGGACCGCTTGGAGCTGAAGAATAAAACCGAGGTTTATTAAATATTATTAATATATAACTCGGACATTTTGAATATGCAATGATTTGATTACCTTTTTGTGTAAAGACACTAGGTATCAAAACATTCGGTCGTAAATGTGACTTGTTCAGGGGTGCATTTTTTTCTTAAACTACAGTTGGGAGCAAAAATATGGTAGAAATGGTTATTTTAAACGTAGTTAACTATGTTTTAAAGGATGTAAGTCATGTAGCAACATTTTCTATAGAGGCGGTCTGAGTAAGTTTCTTAAATTAAATTAAATTAAATTAAATTAAATTAAATTAAATTAAATTAAATTAAATTAAATTAAATTAAATTAAATTAAATTAAATTAAATTAAATTAAATTAAATTAAATTAAATTAAATTAAATTAAATTAAATTAAATTAAATTAAATTAAATTAAATTAAATTACGTTGATTTAAAAAAAATGACACAGTACATTTGAATCATTTATTTATAATATGGTATGTTTTCTTTCCCAGTACATAAAGTATATGGAACATATTAACTGCAGAAACAGTTTTTGTTGCAAGCCATTATATGGCTTGCAACTATCATATACTTAAAACTGTCCTGTCCTGTCCACTTTTACGTGTAGCTACGATTTCGTGTCGACCAATAGGACGACAGACACAATCTCGTACCCAAGGCCATT